TCAAAAAAATTAAAAAAGAAACTGCCATTCCACCGATGGGTGATTTATTTATTTATTTATTTATTTATGTATTGATTGATTGGTATTTTATTTATTATTTTTATTTTATGTATACGAGCATATTGCCTGCATGTAGGTGGCTGCACCCATATCATGCAATGCCCACAGAGGTCAGAAGAGGGTGTCAGAGTCCCTGGCCCTGGAGTTATGAACCATTGCTAGTCAACATGGGGGTGCTGAGAATCAAACTTGCATCCTCTGCAAGAGCAACCAGTGCTCTTAACCATTGAGCAATCTCTCCAGGCCCTTATTCATTATTTTTGAGGCAGGGTCTCACTGTGTAGCCCTGGCTGGCCTAGAATTCCCTATGTAGAACAGGCTGGCCTAGAACTCAAAGAGATCCACCTGCCTCTGCCTCCTGAGTGCTACGATTAAAGTTGTGTGCCACCATGCCCGGCTTTGGGTTTTATTTTTAAAAGAAAATAAATGATCAGTGGCTCAAGCGTGTAATCCTAGCACTTAGGAGATCAAGGGAGAAGGATGCTGAAAATTGGAGTCCAGCCTAACCTACAGTATAGGATTCTGTCTCAAGAAAACAAAAACAAAACAAGGAAACAAAAATGAAAATCAGAAAACAGTCTGAAGATACAGCTAAGTTTGACTGCTTGGCTGGCAGGCATGAAGCCCTGGATTCTGTCCCCAGCACCGTAAAAATTGGGCATTAGTTCTACATTCCTGTAATTCCAGCAGACAGGAGGTGGATGCAAGATCAGAAGTTTAAGGTCAGCCTGGGCTATAAGATACCGCTTGGGAAAACCAGCCACACACCTGCACCAAACTTCCACACAGAGCATCTGCTGGCCCTGCCACATGAACAGTGATGATCAGGCCCACACTGTAATTTCCAAAATTTACATTAAGAGTAATGAGTTTAAAAAAAAACAAAAAACAGTCCACGAAGTTGTCAGAAAAAAGTGATGGGGAGATATGGGAGGTGTCGGAGGGGAAGGAGTGGGCATGGGTTTGATCAAAGCACCTTATATGCATGTATGAAATTCTCAATAAAGTTTTTGTAAAAGTTAAAAAAACCCAAAAATCTTTATTGTGGGTTGTGTAGCCATGAAAAGTAAAGGGGAAAGGATGGTGTTGACAAAGAGCATTCTAGGAGGATCTACTCACAGAGAGATGGAGGGATGGAAATGAGAAAGAGAAGGATCCTGGGATGAGGGTCCTGGAGCAGAGACTCCAGATCCAGGAGTTTGGACAACGTGACTGGTTTCTGCCATAGACTGGGAGCAACTTGGAGCCGGTGTATCCTAGTAGTCCCCCAAGTGACTCCCAAGTGCTCAGAAAACTTCATCCATCTGCTGTTCTCCAGTGGGGAGGCTGAGTGGTTTCCCTGGATCATGTGGATCATGTTCATGGGCTGCCTCAGTTTAACCCAGTGGGTACAGGCTAAGTTCTTGACACAAAGAAAGATGAAATCAGGTCTCTGTAGGCCCCCAGAAAGCCTGTGCCAGGGGGTTGAGACAGTCGCCTGCTGCCTGATGGTTAGGGACTTGGGTCTAGTTATCTATGGGCCTGAGTTCTAGGTCTCACCTGGCTTAGGGATCCCAGCAGCTCTAGAATGAAGAGCAGAGTCTTGGCATTGGCACAGAACCTTGGCCTTGGCACAGAACCATGGCATTGGCACAGAAAATCAAATTTGAGAGGCTTAGTGTGAACTTTACACATTAATGTGTAATGGGCAGGTGGCCTCACCCAGCCAGCCCACACTGACTGCAGGGCCCTCTCCCTTACACTCCTTTCCTTTTCTTCCTACCAAATCCTTCTGCCCATCTTTGTTTGCCAGGGCCTTGGGATGCAGTTATTTGTGCTGGGGTATAAACAGCAGACAGGAAGCATAGGACTAACTCCAGCAGGTGCTTGGCTCCTGAAGCCATGCAAATAGACCATTCTATGGAAGAATTTGGGATATCACAGCAACCTTTATGGGATCCCTTTACCCTATCTGGAACTCTGGCTATCTCCCCATCTTAGCACTGGTGGCTGTTCCTCTGGGACATACAGGGTTCTTAAAATCCTTTGGGAGGATGTGTGTGTGTGTGTGTGTGTGTGTGTGTGTGTACAGGGAGTCAGCCTTGCTATCATTCCTTAGAAGCCTTCCACTTCATTTTCTTTTTGAGACATGGGGATTCCAAGTGTACAACACTACACTCAGCTCTTCTAATGTGGGTTCTGGAGACTGAACTCAGGTCCTGGTGTTTGCAAGATAAGCACTTTCCTAACAGAGCTATCTCCCCAGCTTAGGTGTGTGTGTGTGTGTGTGTGTGTGTGTGTGTGTACAGGGAGTCAGCCTTGCTATCATTCCTTAGAAGCCTTCCACTTCATTTTCTTTTTGAGACATGGGGATTCCAAGTGTACAACACTACACTCAGCTCTTCTAATGTGGGTTCTGGAGACTGAACTCAGGTCCTGGTGTTTGCAAGATAAGCACTTTCCTAACAGAGCTATCTCCCCAGCTTAGCCATTTATCTCTCTTTTTATCTTTCTTCTGCTTTTTCCAGGACATAGAAGAAAGCTCAATATTTTAAAATTATAAACTTAAGAATACCCTCATGGTTCTAATCTCTGACAAGTTTCATTCAAAATTTTAAAGGTTTCAGTTAGCTTTGGTGATGCATTCCTATAATCCTAATATGTAGAAAATGGAGGCAGGAGGACCAGAAGTTCAGCATCATCTCAGCTGCATAGAAAGTTTGAGGCTGGCTTGATCTCTGTGAGACCCTGACCCAAAATAAAACAGTAAAAAACTAACAAACAAAAGTTATCAATGTCTCTACTGTGTTCCTAGTATATTTTATTCAGTCAAGCTGAAGCCAAAGGTTGAATTCTCCATGAGTTTTGGAGTCCAGAATATTCTTCCTATTTTATGCTCAGCATAAGATACTTTAAGAGTCACATACACCCCAATATCGGGAAGCTTCTTAAAAAATACATTTTGAGCCAGACCTGGTGGCTCATGCCTTTAATCCCAGCACTTGGGAGGCAGAGGCAGGCAGATCTCTGCGAGTTCAAGGCCAGCCTGGTCTCCGTAGTGAATCCAGGCCAGCTGTGACTACATCTGTCTCAAAAAGACGCCCCTCCCCCAATACATTTTGAAGCTGAATGATTACAAGAAATCGATTCTAAATCTTTTTTTTTTTTTTTTGTCTTTTTTGAGACAGGGTCTCCTTGTAGCCCCAGCTGTCCTGGAACTCACTATGTAGACCAGGCTGGCCTCAAACTCACAAAGATCGGCCTGCCTCTGCCTCCCGAGTGATGGGATTAAAGGCGTTCGCCATCACACCTGGCCTATTCTTATTTCAGTGTCTGCCCCACCCAGTGGGCCTTAACAGGGATGACAGAGTATATGGGATCCAGTGAGGGGGTTATGGGAGGGTGCCAGTTGAGATGGAGGTATAAAGATAAGATTGTTTGAGCTGTTCTGTATGAAATACACAAAAAAATTCAATAAAAAATTAATTAAACTGAAAAAAGACCCCCCCAATACATTCTTCTTCTTTTTACATGTATGAGTGTATTTCCTGAGTGTAGGTAGGTACACCCTTGTCATGCAATGTCCACAGAGGTCAGAAGAGTGTGTTGGATCTCCTGGAATTGGAGTTATAGATAGTTGTTAGCTGCCATGTGGGTGCTGGGAACAGAACTTGGGTTCTCTGTGCTGTTCTTTATTATCTAAGCAATTTTGATACTTTCTTTTGCAAAGTTTAATATTTGTATTTTACAATATAGCCAGGGTTATTGTATAATATTTTCCAAAGTAATTTGATTGTATGTCTGTTACTATTCTTAAATTTTTAAAAAATTGCATTTATTTATTTACTTACTGTGGGGGTGCTTAGTATGTGTGTAGATATGCATGTGCTCTAGAGGACAGAGGACAACCCAACTTTGGGAGTTAACCCTCTCCTTCTACTATGTGGGACTTGGGGATCAAACTCCCCAAGGTTGTCAGGCTTAGCAGCAGGTGGCTTTACTTGCTGAGCTGTCTCTCTGGTCCCTCTGTTGCCTTTCTTTGTGGCCATATACAGCTCTACTAGTCAGAGAATTCATGGGCTAGATAAAAGAGCAAATTCTGTCATCATACCTTGATTGAATCTGATCATAGCAGGGAATCTCCTATATTGGACAGCTTTGTGCAGTGGTGATCATAAGTGACCTGAACAATCTGTGGTCAAGATGGTAAGTCATGCGTACGAACTGAAGAGCAAAGCAGATCCCTTCCAGTTTATTATTTGCTGGATGTTGATGTTGTTAAATGTTTTTATTGCCCTCTAGGGGACCAAACACATCACTTTGCTCATTAGGAATGAGGTACTTAAGGATTTCGCAATTCTACCGAGAGCCAGAATGATTTCATATAAATGATTTCTAAGGAAAAGTCTAGTCAGAAAAAAAGGGGGAAGGCAAATGGCTCTTGTGATTTTAATTCCTACTTTCATTCAACCTGGGGATAAGCTTAATGTATTTAAATAATGACAGTGTTTGAATATGGGGGTCTGTAATAAATGATATATAAACTTCCCCACAGACCTGGGACTATAGCTCAGTTAGTACAGTGCTTGCCTAGCATGCATAAAGCCCTGGGTCTGATTCCCAGCATCACAGAAACCAGGCATGGTGGCACATAATCCTGTCACTAATGAGGCAAGAGGATCAGAGTTGAAGGTCATCCTTGGCTACGCAGTGAGTGTGAGGCTAGCCTAGGGTATATGAGACCTCATCTCAAAAGAAAACAAAAATAAAAACAAATTCATAAAATAATTGTTTTACAAAACTTCTTTTTGTCAGGAATTAAATAAAATAACCAACATTAGTTACCATCCTTCACAGTCAGCACACTGCACACACTTAATATTCACCTGTAGAGGAAGAGCAATGTTTGTCATTTTGTCTATATTTTTTAAAGCCATAAAGGTGACTTTTCCTTTTTATTTTTTGTAATAGGTTCTTCTTGCCTTGTTGGTCATTGTGTCACTTGGATTAGGCCTGGGACTTGGACTTAGGAAACCAGAACAGCAAGGTATACCCCTCAGCCTTGTTCAAAAACATTCTCTTCTTGATCCTGACTTTAATCCATTCAAACTTGTCTTTTCCCAAGTCTCCATGCCACATTGTTCTTCAAAGCCTCCCGTCCCTCACAATACTTTACTCACTGTTGTTTATGGACTTTACTCCTTCACCCTCACACAAAAATTCCCCACTGTTCCAGTGCAAGAAATTTGGTTACTAATCACAGGCATTCTGTCTCAGCTCCCACTGTAAATGTCTAATGACTGTGTCCAGCCTTTTGACTTCCAAAGTTTTTGTTGCTCTCAGAACCTTCTGCCACCAACGCTGCATCTTGATAGCACATTAGTATCGTTCCGTCTCTGACATCCCACTATTTCATGGTTAGTCAGCACTAGATTCTTGAAAAGCAGTACATGATAAAAGTTTTGCTTTTTTCTTATAAGAAGCAAAGGAAAATAAGTGATACATGCTCCTAAGTATAAAATCACATCCAATTTGTTGCATCTCATTAATATGGATAGTAAATTTACCATTTATACATGACCATTTAAGTATCTTCTATCATTTTTTAAAACCTTTTATTTATTATTTTTATGTTATGTGTATGAGTGTTATGCCTGCATGTAAGTGCACCCGTGTTGTGCAATGCCCATGGAGGACAGAAGAGGCTGTCGGACAGTTGTTAGCTGCCATGTGGGTGCTGGGATTCGAACTGGAGTCTTCTGCAAGAACAGTCAGTGTTCTTAACCACTGATCTCTCCAGCCCCCTTCTATCATTTTTTAAAATTTTGTTTATTATTATTATGTATGTGTTAGATATGTGTGCAAGTGTGTAAGTGCAGAGCACAGATGTGGAGGTCAGAAGATAACCTTTGGAGGTCAGTTCTCTCCTTCCACCATGAGTTCTGGGGAATCTAACTCAGGTCGTCAGGTTTGGACAAGAGCTCTACTGGCTGAACCATCTTGCCAGCCCATCCTCTAATTTTAAATACATAGTTTTTACCAAAGTAAAGTAAGAGGTCTGTGTTGGATCATTCATTGCCCTTTTCAGTTTGACCTGATGAGTTCTACTTGACTTCATTGGGAAAAGTCTTATTACTTCTTGAAGGAGGCGCTTGGTTAACTGACAGTTTTCCTGCCATACTTTTCATAAGAATGAACTCTCAGCTCCTCTGTGCAAGAGGAACACGGCAGAGATGAGAAAGTAGGAGCTGGGCGGTTACTGCCTTCTCCCAGTCACTTGACTGTTGTGTTTCTGAGGTGCTCTGGTGGTCCTAGTGTGAATTAATGTTGGCTAGCCATTTCGGTGGTATCACTCTGGTGTTGGTGCTCACATATGGGAATCATTTCTTGGCTTGTTTTATCCTCCAAATTGCATAAATTGAATGCAAAAGGCATATACTAATCTCTGAACAAAATTCTCTACTCTCTAGTTCTTTGCTCCCTTCCTTTGTACACCGACCGGCTTCCCGGAGTGCTTCTTCCTCAGTCTCTTCCCTTCATCTCAGGCTGTCAGCCCCCTGTCAGCATCTCAGTCTTATCAACCTTCCCTTTGGAACTCAGGGCACTGATACTTAACTCCAGCCCCTTTGACCATCTTCATCCTTTTTTAAAAATATTCCTTGGCATCAATCTCATTCTTCCCCTTTATTATTCGTTCTTGTACCTCAACTCTTCAACTGAGTCCAAACTCTGAACAATTTTAACCATTTTCCACTCCAGTTAGCCTTTCCTTCATTGGCAATGTATATTGTTCCTAATGTGGATTTTAAAATTTGTGCATATTCTTACAAATTTACCATCATGTATGCTTGTATTTTTTACTTCTCCAAACATTGAACATTGACTGTATGCTTGGTATTAATCAGGATATAGTAGGAAGAGAACAGACAAAAGTCTTTTCAAGAGTTTACATTCCTAGGTTGAAGATGTAGCTAGGTTGATATAGTGCTTGTCTAACATACACCACATTTGCTGGTGCAAGCCTGTACTACCAGTCCTGGGAGGAAAGTAGGCAGAAGGATCAGAAGTTGAAGGTCATGGTCAACTGCATAGGTAATAGGGAGGGGGAAAGAGAGAGAGAGAAATAAGGAAAAGTGCTAAGGAATAAATAATAAGAAAAACCAAACAGGGAAATGAAATGTTGAGTGAGGCTGGTGGATGGGTGTGGATGTGAGTGTGAAATAACTCATGAATTATGAGCTCATGGAAGTGAAGGAGAAAGGAGATACTTCAAAGAAGAATGTTCTAGATAAGAGGGAACAACAAGTGCAAAGGCCTAAACCAAGAAAATGCCTGGCATGTTCCATGAAGGGGTAACAAGGTCATGAGCTGGAGCTAAAAGGACCAGTGGAAGATAGTCATAAAATGAGATCAGCCAGATAGAGAAGAGCCAAATATATAAGGGTTGGTATGTCAATGCTTGGTCTTAGACTTCCATTCTGAGCACAGTGGGGAGCCATTGGAGGATTTGAACTGAGGAATAAGTGCTCTGGTTTGGTTTCCAGCAATAGCACATCAGAGGGAGAACAGAAGTCAGGGGAACAATCAGGGGGTTGCTGCAGTCACCCACACAAGGCTTGTCTTGAAACAGATGGTGATAAGTGTTTGGATTCTGGAACTATTTTGATGGGTTAGATCTTGTGTACTGACAGATTGGCTATGAAGTGAAAAAGGGAGATACCAAGAATGACCTCATGATTATTTTTGACATGAACATTAAGAAATATGAAGCTTTCATACTTTAGTTGAGGAAGACTGTATGTAGAAAGCACTGATTTGGAGAAAAAAAAAGAGTTGCTCAATTTTGTACATATTAAAATTGAAACGTCTTCTAGATGTGAGTGGACAAGACAGGAAGATAGTTGACAGTGAGACTGGCTTTAGGGGTCAATTTTTCCTGGGCATGCATTCTGGTGGTTATAGGCAGATTACTTGGGATTAAAGCCGTATGACTGGGGTACAACAACCTTAAAGAGTTGGGACATGTAGGGGGAAACCTGGAAGACTAGGAAAGAGTAGCCAGGAATATGGGAGAAAACCCATGTAGTTGTGTCCGGGAAGATTAGGACATTAGGAGATTACTGAATACAAATATGCAAAGGTCGTGTATGTAAATAGATTGAAATGTTTCTATTGATCTTTTTCTTAGATTTATTTTTATTATTTTGTAAATTTTGTGTCTGTATGTGGGTATGTGCTCGTGAGTATAGGTGCCTGCAAAGGCTAGAGGATCCCTGGAGCTGGAGGTATAGGCCATTGTGAGTCACCCAGTAGGGGTATTGGGAGCTGAGCTCAGGTCCCCTGCAAGATCAGTACTACTCTTAACCACTGAGCCATCTCTACAACCCACTTTTTCTCACCTTTTCGCTGTATAGTTTTCGGTACTGAGAATCAAACTAGGGCCTCTCATGGGCAAGGCTTTTATCACTGAGTAGCATTTCTAACCCTCATTGAGCAGTTATTACGATCCTTCTAAATTTGTTCTGCATGCGTTTATTCTTATGCTTCTTTTATTTGCTGTTATTATCATATATCCAACATGCCATTTGACCGTTACCTGCTCTCAATGCCAAGCTTTATATACTTACCACCACATAAATCCTGTGGGTTCCTGTATGGGCTTGCTTGGGATTGGTTTTGTCATACACAGGATTGGAATTCCTAGAGTTCAGGTTTATATCTTCGAATTTGGGTAAGTAGTGCCAGATTATTTTCTAGAATTACTGTCATGGCCTGACCTACCTTCACTATACATCCCCACCAACTGATTGTTGTCCAGATTGCTCATTTTTGACAGTATACAGTTAGCTATAGAACCTCTGGTGTGCTGGAGTCATGGGCATGTACCATCACATCCAATTTATGTGGTGTCAGGGATGGAACCCAGAGCTTCATGCCTGCTAGGCAAGAACTCTACCAGCTGAGCAGTATCACCAACCAACAGGTTTCATATTTTATGTGTATGTCTTTTGTTGTTCTTGGGATGGGGTCTCACTATGTTGCCTAAGCTGCCCTCCAATTTATGGATACTTTCTGTCTCTCCCAACCAAGTAGCTAGTATTGTAGATGTGCACAACTGCACCTGCTCTCTTTCCACCTTTTGAGTATCTCAGCATTAGTTGTGGTGTGTGTGTGTGTGTTAAAACTGGATCCCTTCATTGTTTCCTTTTCAATCAAGTTTTTCTTCTTTTTTCTCCGCTTGATCTAGCCTTAATCTTTGCTTTTCTTGTTGCATGATATCTTGCTATCCTCCAGTGGCTGGTGACCATCTGTTCATATTTCAGAGTACTGCTGTTCCCCACTCTTGCCCTTAAAATATTCTCTGTGTCACCCCTTGATGAGAGCTGCCCCTCCAGAGTCCAAGCTTTGGAGTCTGGAATGGACAGTTGGGTGGAGATTCACTACTCAGTCTCCTGATTTTCAACCCATTCCCTTACACTTAACCTTGTGCCTGTCCACTCTTCCTTCACCTCATGCTGCTTGGTGCCTCCAGTTCTATGGCTTCTATGTCTAGGGTCCTGGACAAAGCCACTTGCCTTTGACTTTCTTCCTTCTTTTTTTCCTTCCTTCCTTCCTTCCTTCCTCCCTCCCTTCTTTCCTCCTTCCTTCCTTCTTCCTTCCTTCCTCCCTCCTTTCTTCCTTCCTTCCTTCCTTTCTTCCTCCTTCCTCCTTCCCTCCCTCTCTCCCTCTCTCCCTCCCTTTCTTTCCTTTCTTTTCTCTCTGTCTCTCTTTGTCTCTCTGTCTCTGTCCCTTCCTTCCTTCCTTCCTTCCTTCCTTCCTCTTTCCTTCCTTCCTCCCTCTATTTCCTTTTCTGGTTTTTCTCCTACTTCCATCATCTATTTTTGAATTTAGAGGCTGTATCTGTTTGGAAACTATTTTCCACAATATTTTTGTGGAATTTGGGATGTTGAGGGGGCGAGACTGAAATGCCAGTCACGTATAAATGAGAAAATTGTATTATTTCATAATTTGTTTTTGTTCAATAATAGCAAAAGTGTTTCTCAAAGTCATTAAAATCACAAACAGTAATATTTTAAGAGAGTAGCTCCTGGTATCCAGAACTGATTATAATTATTTTATATAGATATAAAATATAATAACCTTAATCTGCTAAGGTATATTAAGATTGTTTTATTTTAAAAACACTCTTGCGATTATAGGTGGACTGGGGAGAACATTTTTCAACATGCATATTTGTGGCTTTCTTTAGAATAGAATCTAGAAGTAAGATTATTGAGGTTAGAGCATCAAAGCTTTTAAAATTAATGAAAATGGTGAGCCTGCACAAAAGTACAAATGCAACTTAGTAAGATCTGTGTGTCATCACCCACTCATAATTCATGACCAATCTTGTTTTATTTTTATGTTTATCTATTGTCGCCTCTAAAAATTATCTTGAAGCAAATGCCTGACATAATTTTTTTCCAGAATATATCAGTCTATATTTCAAAAAGTTATAAAGAACTTTCCTTAAAAATACATCATAATTTTGGGCACAAATATTTTAAAAAGGAAAATATCCCTTATTTTGTAAGTAGAGTTTTGTAATTATTGGCTTTGACTAGGCAATGTAATATTATAACCCTTTCAGAATGGTTCCTTCCACCACTGTCACATGGCTTCCGTGTTCTCTCCTCAGAGGTGACTAAGATCATGTTCTTCTAGGAAGTTTATGCATCAAACATTAATGTGATATTTGTGTTTTCATAACTCAGTCAACCTTTCTCCTCTTCTTTCTTTCTCCTTCCTTCCCTCTCCCCCCCATCTTTTCTCTTTTATTAGCACGTAAGCCCTTTGTTTCACACTGTCATAACTTTCCCAGAAGATTTTTTTTTAACCAATAACAGTATATCCTATCTATTTGATTACTTGGAAAATACTCATATTCTTTTGAAAATATCATCCCCAGCCTTTTGTAGCAATACTTTGAAAATCATCTGAGTGCTCTGTTTTTATATATTTTGGGGTCAAAATGGAGTAGGATGAGTTTGAGATCTACCACTAGAAGTGTTACTTAAGCATTTGTTCCCTCTGTCTTTTCATCTTACTCTCCTTCCTTTCCCCTTTTTGGGGGGTACATTTCGAAATGAGTATCCTAAAATACTGTCCTTGACTCCCGAGGCATTTATATTTTTAGAGCTGTAAATTGAACTATTTTTGCATATGAGACAAGTAGATCAAGGGAGCCCTTCTCTCCCCCTACAGATAATCAGTTGTCCTAATATTGTGAAATATTCACTATTATTTTTGCCACTATCATTTGTTAAATATTTTATTAATATAAATTAATATAAAATTAATATTTTATTAATATAAAGTCTCTATAGTCATATCTTCATTTTTTTCAGAATTTTATTATAATGCCCATCACAAGGTCTGAAACATAATGATACCAAAATAATATTTTGGGGTATTGGGGCTCAGTTGGAAGAGTACTTGCCTAATATGTACAGGGCCCTGGTTCAATCCTCAGCACCTTGTAAAGTGAGTGTGCTGAAACATGCCTGTCATCCCAGCAATCAGGATGTGGAGTCAAGAGGAACAGGAATTCACGGTCATCCTACACTGTGCAGCGTTTGAAGCCATCCTAGGCTATGTGAACATCTGTCTTAAAAAATATATATTTTGAGTCGGGCATGATGTTGCATGCCTTTTAATCCTAGCACTTGGGAGGCTGAGGCAGACAGACCTCTGTGAGTTCGAGGCCAGCCTGATCTACATAGCGAGTTCTGGGTCAGTCAGTGTTAACAGTGAGACCCTGTCTCAAAAAATATTTTGAAGTTAACCAATTAATAAATTTACATTATGTAATGGTTTTCAAAGAAGGGGGATATGTTTGCAGAACGGAATTTGCCCAAACATAATCATGCACTCTTCACCCTCAAATGATTCTTTTGGAATACAAAGCAGGAGACAAGTACTGAAAGGAAATTAGAGATAAATATTTAGTCCCCCCTCAATTCATAGTAAGGATAAATTGCACTTCACTTGGTACACACTTGGCTCAGGGACTATTGTGGAAGTGGGGGTAGAAAGACTGTAAGAGCCAGAGGTCAGGAAGAACCAGAGCAAAACCGCATCTTCTGGACACGATTAGACTTCTGCAGCTGTGAACTCAGAGCAGCTGTGATTACTTGTACAAGATCAATTGAGTCTACATTCCAGCAGGGAGGGGCAGGGGCTGATGAACTCACACCCTAGTTGAGAAGCTAGTGACAACTGATGGTTGCTGCAGGAGGGAGAGTCAGTTTGCTTTAGGAGTGTGGTCCCTGGTTGGTCCACCATGCTCCAGTGGATGGCCCCACAACCATGAGTACATGGACAGTACAAATTGGAAGCAGTAAGTTATGAAAAAAGGGACATGAAGTTAGGGATAGGGAGATAGGAGGTTGATCTGGGAGGAGTTGCCGGTGAATATAATCAAATACCTTGTATGCATACATGAAATTCTCAAAGGATTAATAAAAATATTATATTAAAAAAGGTCAATATAAATTTCAAATTATAGGTCTATTGGTTTATTCCCATGTCGTGCAGTGCCATGGAGGTCAGAAGAGGGCTTCAGATTCCCCTGGAACTGGAGTTAAGGACAGTTTGTAGCCACCATGTGGGCGCTGGGAATCGAACCCAGGTCCTCTGCAAGAGCAGTCAGTGCTCTTAACCGCTGAGCCATCTCTCCAGCCCCCAAAATATTATATTTTAAAAACAGAACTTGCTTGTTATCATGAATATACTTATGAGTCCAAAATTAGTATCTTTAGTTGACCTCTCTTTCCTGAGCTTCAGGCACAATAGTCAGACTCCCAATTTGATATCTCTTTACTCAAGTGTACAGAAAAACCTGAACTTATCTCCCTTGGGCCTCTTGTGCTACACATAGAAGTCATTTAAAACTCATTGTTTTCTATTATTCCTTATATAAAGATTCACTTAAATGCACTGTAACTATTTAGATTTTATTTGTATCTTCCTGTGTACACTGTTATTACCTTTCTTTAGACTCTTCGTTTGTTTGTTTGCATAAAAACCTCCTGCTTGGTCAGAGAGTTTCCATTCACTCACTCCCTGACATTTGTTTTCTGGAGTGAGTTTCTAAAGCACAGATCTAATTTATCTTTTGCTTATTTTTTAATAATCCTTTATTACCAGAGGTTGGGCCTCAAGTGTCTTTCCTCACACCAGTCTGTTTTTACCTTTGAACTCTACACTTTAGTCATTCCAGCCCATCTGCAAATTGGCCTAATTTACAAAATCCTTACCCTTTCTTGAGCCCCAGTGGGGTCATCCCACCCCTCACCCCGTGTGCTCCCACACAGCTTCCACATAGCCACACCCTGTTATTTAGCACATCACCATCACACTGAACCATAAACACCATCAATTTGTCTGTTTTAGTCTGTGCTAAGTACTTTGTGCTGGCACCGTCTAGGGATGAAGCACTGGGTGACTTAACTTCTAAATGTTACTGTCCTGTGTCTTTTATTTTACAGGTAGCTGCAGGAAACAATGCTTTGACACATCACATAGAGGACTGGAGGGCTGTCGGTGTGACACCAGATGTATGGACAGAGGGGATTGCTGCTGGGATTTTGAAGACACCTGTGTGAAATCAAGTATGAATTCTGACAATCTGTTTACTAATATTTAGTTGTGCTGCCACACTTGCTACATGTCCAGTTAAACCTTCTACCGTGTGTGAGTTTCTAGAGCTGCCACAACGAAGTACCACATGCTAGGTGGCTTAAAAATCTGAAGTCTTTTCTCTCACAGTTCTAGAGGTTAGAAGACCAGGTTCTAGGGGTTGGCAATGTTGAGTCTTTCTGAAGGCCTCTTTCTGAGGCATCCATTTCATGCCTCTTTCCTGGTTCTGGTGGGTTGCTGGTAATCACTGGCATTCTTTGACTGGCAGTATCATAGCTCCAAACTCTCCCTTCACCTTCATATGATATATGTCTCTTCACATAGCCTTCTTCTGTGTAGCCCTGTTTCCAAATTTCCCCTTTATAAGAAAGACAAATCAGGGTGTGATGGACATGTCTGTAATCTCAGCACTCGGGATTCTGAGAAAGGAGGATTGGCAGGAAGTTGAGGCCATCCTGGGCTACAGAGTGAAACCTTATTTCCAAAGAAAACAACAGCAAAACAGAAAGAGCAAAAGAAAGAGAGAACAGAAAAGAAAACCAGCTGTCACATCAAGGATTTCCCTAATTACTTCATTTTACTTGATCTTTTGCAAACTGGTCATATTTCTAAATACAATCACATTCACACATAATGGAGATTAGAATTCAGCATCCTTTCAAAAGTACAGAATTCAACCCCTAACATCTTTTTCTGTGTGTCTACATGAGGTTTATTATTATCATTTTCCCCTTCTCGGTGCATAACACAGGAGCCCACCCTTTATTTAGTTGAAGTTGAGGGATAACAGTACAGAAAGTGAAATGCTGCTTAATGACATGGATTTGATGAAATTCTATTATGGCTTAGGTACAAATCCTGGGAGAATGCCAGAGATGTGGTCAGAGCTGGCCCACCACTTCTGTCTGACCTGCCTCTGAACCTGCATACATGACTGTGTTCCTGCTACTGATGTCAATGTCCTTTCTTTGTTGACTGTCCCTTAGACATGGCTGGGCAAAGCTGTTCTTGGGTAGTTGTATTTCATCAGGGCTCATGACGTTTCACCATGGGGAACTCGAACCTCTGGGTGGAAACAGGACCAGCGTTGAGAGCTTCACTAACCTGGGTGCATTTGTGAAGTGGACCAGACTTGGAGTTTATGATAAAGAAGCAGAGCCATGGCTTGCTTTTTGTTTTATAATGATGTGTTTTAATTTACTTAAGCAGATAAACCAAGAGTTTGACTGTATTATAACACAAGGAGAAATACACGGCATTTGTATTCTTTGTATTGTACATATTAATTCTCAAAACTGAATTGTATAATTTTACAGCTCAAATATGGACATGCAATTTGTTTCGTTGTGGGGAGAAGAGACTAGAGTCGAGCCTTTGCTCTTGTGCAGATGACTGCTTACAGAAGAAGGATTGCTGTGCTGACTACAAGAGTGTTTGTCAAGGTAAGCAGGGGATAGTCGTGCATTTTTCTTTGTGGGTTCACTTAGAGCTATCTGGGCTGCAACAATTTAAACAAGCCAGAGAATCTTTAGTTACTGTTTCACACACAGGAAAAAATGGCAAGTGTTTACTGTGAGATGAAATGGAGGGGTGTATACACTAGAAAGGAAGGGAGTCTCCTCTATAAATAGACCAAAGAAGAGAGCTTACAGCTCCGTGTTCATCTAGAAGGTAAGGAGTTTTTTCAGTGCAAGCATTGTGGTTTGAGATCCTGGATGGAAGATTCTAAATTTAGAGCATCAGGGAACAGATTATCTAACATAAGTGCCAGCCCATGTATTAGAATATCTGTGTCTTGCAGGATTTAATAACTAAAGGCCCTTAGGGTATTAATGCAGATTGAAGATCCGAACGAATGCAAGTATTCAACTTCCATTTGACAACTCACTTGCTAAAGACTTGAAATTCTTTTACGATCTGATGAAATTTATGAAAATGGTAAATGATACAGACATTAAAGTTTTTCACACAATTGATCCCTGACTCCTCTAACACTACAATCAACTGAGTTAACTTATACCCTTAATATTTTTAAACAAAAAAGAGAGAACGAATTGAATTCTGACTTTTAAAGTAAAAGAAAAATGTTAGAGTATAAATATTGCCAGACACTGCATGACAGGAATGTACTTACACACATGCAGGCAATACACTCATACACATAAAAAGTAAAAATAAAATATTAAATATTGCCAGAGCTGGGTTCTAGAATCTAGAAACAGTAGAAACGAGTCCAGACCCAAGAGGAACAGGCAAAGCTGGCTTTCTTTCTGTCTTCTTCCCTCGCTCCCTCCGTCTCTCCCTCTCTCTCTTTCTCTCTCCCCTCCCCTCCTCTCCGCTCTCTTCCTTTTCCCTCCCTCCCTCCCTTCCTTTCTTCCTTCCTTGACATTTGCCAGAGCAAGGGGTGACTAAAATAGAAGTTTCCATCTAGATCTTTTGCACAAACAAGGGATTTAAGCTTATAGAGTGTCCAGGCTTCACTGGGCCACTTGTTCCCATCCCCAGATCTTTTGTGCAAACAAAAGATTTAAATTGGTAGAGAGTGTCCAGGTCCCACTGAGTTATGTCCAAGCTTGGTGGTAGGCAGCATCTTATTGGTCAGCTGTGACTCCTGGGACAAGGAAGACTTTCAGAGGCAGATCCTGTATCTCTGTGAGTAGAATACATTTGTAACTGCAGGGTTTTTTTTTTTTTTTTTTTTTTTTTTTTTTTTTAAAGCTCCAGGGCTGCTGGTAAGTCCTCATATCTGTCCTCATCTGGCTTTGCTGTGAGAACGTGTAGCAGATGTGATCCTTCAGGGCCCCTTCCTGGATCATTTTATTCCTCATTTGCGTGTCTCTCAACTGTGGTAGAAACATTACTCACCATAACCTAAGAGTAGAAAATATGTTTTGTATTGACAGATGAGTCAGTTTTTATATGAAATAAAACCACCAAATTCGTAACTTTTAGTGGGGTAGAAATTATTTGCTTTACTACAGGGCAACTTATTTGCTATTGATAAGAACTCATTATTGTATATTGCTATTTTTTTTTTTTTTACCAGTTAACTGTTATCTGTTACTTTTTTTTTCTGTTATCCTGACTGAGTTGTAAAAGGGATGATAAGGAGTAATCTAGATAAGGATGCCTACTTTCAAGTAAATAAGTGATTTATAGATGGCCTTTTAGCTAATTCCCAGCGTGACATTAGCATGGAGTCTAGTGATCAATTTTTTTTCCCCTATCTCCAAATTTTGTATTTTCTTTTCTGCCATTTCTCTTTTTTTCTTCTTTTTTTGTGATTTTTTTTTTTTTGAGACAGGGTCTCTCTGTCGCTCCAGCTGGCCTGGAACTCACTATGTAGATCGGGCTGGCCTCGATCTCACAAAGATACACCTGCCTCTACCTCCTGAGTGAGATTAAAGGTGTGTGCCACCACACCAGCAAGTATTTTCCTTTCTTTTTTTTCAAATATTTCATTTATTATTTTTATTTTATGTGTATGAGTGTTTTGCCTGCATGTAGGTAAGTGCACCCATGTCAGTGCAATGCCCGTGGAGGACAGAAGAGGCTGTTGGATCCCCTGGAACTGGAGTTACGTACAGTTGTTAGCTACCGTGTGGGTGGTGGGATTTGGACTTGGGTCTTCTGCAAGAACAGTCAGTGTTCTCAACAGCTGAGCCATCTCTCCAGCCCCGTATTTTCCTTTCTTAACAAAAATATACTTATCATTTCCTCCTCATCATCATTTCTTTCTTTTTCTTTCTTCCTTTTTTCCTTCCTTCCTTTCTCTCTCTTTCTCTCTCTCTCACACACAGACACACACAGACACACACACACACTTCCTCTCAAAAGTTTAGATTATTTAAAAGCTAGAATTATGTATAATATTTTCAGCATATATCTAATAAAGATTTAATGAAATTATCACCTAAACACATAATTGTTTATGGTCATCAAATAGCCAATCTGTGTTCAAAATTTTCTCCCTGTCTCATAATGGTTTTTTAAAAGACTGAAGCAGGATTCAAATAGATACTAGTTGTTGCAACTGACTGCCATATTTCAAGTCCTATAATGTTTTTGCTTCCCTGTTTTTTTTTTTTGATTCTTTTATTTATTTTTATTTTTGGTGTATGAGTATTCTGTCTATATGAATTTAAGTGCATCCTTGCATGCAGTGCCCATGAAGGTCAGAAGAGGGCATCAGATTCCTTAGAACTGGAGTTACTGATGATTGTTAGCTGCCATGTGGGTGCTGGGAATTGAACCTCAGTCTTTTGCAAGAGCAACCAGTGCTCTTAACCACGGGGCCATCTCTCCAGCCCCAGCTCCCCTCTTTTTATTCCTCTGGCAATTTATATATTGGAGAACTGAGGTCATTTTTCTAGAGTTTTCCAGTCTGGGTTTTGCTGATTGAATCCTTTGTGACTTAAGCAATTTGTCATTCCATATATTTCCTGAAAAATTAGTAGTTAGAGCTAGAGACTATTGAGAACCTGGTGTTGTTTATTTATTTAAAAGAATATTTTGTAGATCATGGTGCTGTCTTCACCATGAAGTCATCATGTCTGCTGATATCTTCTGTGTCAAATGTCAGTCCTAGGTCCATTAAAGTTGCACATAGTGATAGGTACCTTCTGTCATTTCTAATTCATTAGAGAAAATGATTTATAAAGGAAAGTATTCATGAAGTAAAAAAATTCGGGGGGGCTAAAATTTTTAAGTATTTGTTAAATTTTTCCATTGGATATCAACCATTCCCATTAGTCATTTCTTTTCTTCAGATTATATTTTTTTATATTATATAAACCTATTGTTATTCCAGTAGTTGGGAAAATATTGTCCTTGAGGTGGGTGTGTATGTGAAAAGAACAAACCCATTAACAAAAAGAAATCACCTTTTCATCTAAAGGAATCCCCTTTGTTTTACTCAGTAGAGTGGCTTCCTTTCCTGGCATTCAGCTGGTAGATTACTGATTCCTACAGATCTCTGAAAGCACTGGTCTTGTCACCATATGAAGTAGAACTTAGTATGTTCTGGAAGAACTTAGCTATTAGAGTGGCACCATTTAAGCAGTTGGGGAAGACCCCGCCCACAAATCCTTGCTTTTTTCTTTTTGTGTGCCATGCAGTTGTCTAAAGAGTGTGGCCTTCTTCCACTTTGCAGGAGAAACCCCGTGGGTAGCCGAAGCCTGTGACACATCCCAGGAGCCTCAGTGTCCAGAAGGGTGAGTTTGAATGGTGTGGGACTTTCTTCCTCCTTTAAAAACTGGCTCATGACACTGTAGTGGAGAGGCAGAATGGAATTTCTGGAACTCTCCTAATAGTTAACAGAAGATTGAGCTCTATGGGTTCCAAGTTAACAGTCATTTGTATGTTTTACTATTTATGAATCTTGCATATATTATTTTATTATATTCATGTCTCACAGTGACTTAAAAATATAGGCTGTAATATTAAATAACTAACACTTCCAGGGTCCTATGAGTAAAAATGGAATTCAGACTGAAATTACTCCTGCCAGGAATCTTCAGTTAACATCCTTACACTCTAAATTTATTCCTACTGAGGGAAGGGGGAGAGATCCATGAAAAGGCTTATAGTAACAGGAGGACTTTTCAGTATAGATGAAGAGAACTGTCAGGTGAGCACAGATGAGTGTGTGAGGCAACATCCTCCCATCCTACTTCATCTGCCACATGTATGATCATTGCTCCCAAGACTTTGCTCATGTCTGGAGACCTGCCCTCTCTGCCAGGGTGAACTCTGTCCCTCCCTTTGTACCCTGCCCTTCACATTAGGAGGGTTATTGGGCATGGACTTGGAGAAGATGAAAGGAACTGGCATTTTAAAATAATGTCATTTCTTTTTTAAAGTGTGTGTGGAGCAAACACTGTGGTATGCCAGTATGAGTCTCAGCTACTTGGGAGGCTGAGGCAGGAGGATCAGCTGAGTCAAGTCAAGCCACTTGGAGTAACATGGAGAAATGTTCTCTCTTTTGAAAAAAACATGTATGAGGTGCCTGTTCCGGCCTCCCTCTAGCATAGGGGCTGAGAACTCAGGGGACCGCCTGAGAGCACCTGGATCCTGCCCCCATGTGGTGGTCTAGCTAAGTATTCCATAGTACAATGGAAATGAAATGGAAGGAAAGGCTTTCTGTGTCACCCGCTCCTGTAATCTTGAAAGGAAAAACGCTGTGGTATGCAGGTCATTTAAGACGTTGAAGAAAAAGGCATATCACCTGAGTCTACAACTGCTTCCTTTCCCTTAGTAAACACTAAATACTCAGTACAATGGAATGAAATAGAAGGAACGGCATGGTATTCTTATCACACATTCCTTTCATCTTCTAGTGTGGAACCCTGTGGTACCTAGCTCAATCAAGATGGTAAAGAAAATGACGTATCACCTGAGTTTGGAACTTCTTGCTTTGCCTTAGCAAACACTGTAGGTCTTGCTATGTATTCACTATAATGAAAATGAAAGGGAAGTAATGGCTTTCTTTAGCTCATGCTCCTTTCAACTTGAATGTAAGAGTGCTGTGGAAAGTTGGTTAATGAAGGTGTTAAAGCAAATGAACAGCACCTGATTCTCCAACTGCTTGCATTCCCTTAGTAACACTATGAAATGTAAGGATGTGTTCCTTTCATCTTCTGAGAAGGAATGCTGTGGTGTGTAGGTCACTCAAAGTGTTTAACAAAAATATGTATCACCTGAGTTTGTAAAAAACAACAAAAAAAAAAACTATGTATGATGCTGGAGAGTTGGCTCAGAGGTTAAGAGCACTGACTGCTCTTGCAGAGGACCTCAGCTCAATTCCTAGAACCCACATGGCAGCTAACAACTGTCCATAACTCCAGGTGATCCAACATCCTTGTGCTAGATAGCTTTAGTGTCAACTTGACACACCTGGGTTGAGGGAGCCTCAATTGGGGGATTCCCTCTATTGGACTGGCCTGGCATCTTCTTGATGAGTGATGTGGGAGGGCCCAGCCCACTGTGGGTGTGACACCCCTGGGCGGGTGGGCCTGTGTTGCCTAAGAAAGCAGGCTGAGCAGGGCCCAGGGGAGCAAGCCAGTAAGCAGTATTCCTCCATGTCCTGTGCTCCAGCTCCTGCTTCCAGGTTCCTGCCCTGAGTTCCTATCTTGGGCTCCCTGATAAACTGCAACCTGGGAGATGCAAGCTGAATAAACCCTTTCCTCCCTGAGTTGGTAGTGGTGAGAGTGTTTTGTCACAGCAATGAAGAAACAAACCAGGACAATCCTCTTCTGACCTCTGCAGGCATTGCATAATACAGGGGCATTTACACACATGCAGGCAATACACTCATACACATAAAATAAAAATAATAATAAAATATTTTTAAGAACCTCTTGAGACTAAGAGATCTCAGAAATAAGAGCTGAGCTGTTAGATACTAACCAGCAAAAAAGACCAGGTCCTGGGATAAGATCCCACAACTTCTAGCAGCAAAACTAGGAAGATGTTTGAAAAGTTCACTGACCTAGAGAAGAAGGCCAGGTTTGCTTTTTAAATTTATGTACAACAGATATGTATATGAACTAAGATATATTACACACGAACACATGCACACACATGCACACTAATAATAAATATTAAATAAAATTAAGGGAATAAGAATATTTTAGATACAAAAATGTTCACAATAGCAGAATATAAAATATGCTCTGGAGTCCTGGGTAGCCAGCTGGAAAGGCAGAGAGGCCTTTAGGAAAGGAGTGTATTGTATGTATGGATTCCTTTCTTGGTTCCATAGGTGATTGATTTTGTCTTTAAGTGTCAAGGTTTTCTTGATTTTTTTTATGAATATAAGTTTGACTATTTTTATAGACAGGGTCTCATTCATGCCCTATGCTTGCCTAGACCTCACTATGTTACCTAAGGTGATCTTCAGCACCTTATCTTCCTGCCTCCACCTCTCAAGTGCTGGGATTAGAAGTGTGTGCCACCATACTTGGCCTGAACGTAGCATGCTAAATCAGAATTATGGTAATAAGTATAAATGTAGATATTTTCTAATGTAAACTTCACCAGACTATTTTAAGGTTTTAAAAAGATTTTTACAAGTTTTAGTTATATGTATGTGTGTCTGTGTGTGGGTATATGCACCTGAGTACAGTCCCTGCAAGGGCCAGTAAAGGGCATAGAATCACTTAGAACTGGAGTTATGAGCTGTGGTGAGCTGCTTAATGGTGGTGGGATCTGATAAAGAAGAGTATATACTGTTAACCACTGAGCCATATCTCTAGCCCCCATTTTAAGTTTTTCATGAATTTTCCACACATTGAAATTCAGTCTCATTTTTTTATTTTTATTTATAAATTGAAGTATACTTCATATATCTTGAAATGCTCCTATTTTAAGTTTATGGTACAATAAACATAAACCTCACCTACATACAGAATATTTCCAAGATATAGAATATTTTCACACCCCACAGGATTTCTCCTGTCCCTTCTCAGTCCCTACTCTCTAAAGGCAATTAGGTTCTGACTTCGTTCCCCACTGATCCCTGTGTTAGAATCTCCCATCATTAGAACCATGCCTGGCTGGGCATGGTGGTACAATCCTTTAATCCCAGCACTCAGGAGGCAGACAGATCTCTGTGAGATCGAGGCCAGCCTGGTCTACATATTGAATTTCAGGTCAGATGGGGTTACAGGAAGACTGTGTCTCAAAAACCCCAAACAACAACAACAACAACAAAACCCCAAAACAAAAACAACAAAACCCCCTAACTGCCGCCCCCCAAACCCCTCATGCAGTATATTCTCTCATGTTTGGCTTTTGTGGCTTAGTTCAATTAATGTTATTACAGGTACCAGATCTCTTATGTGGACATTTGTGCAAAGTATTTCCCTGTCTGAAACATTGGTCCCATTCTCCCTTCACATTAGTTTTCCTGGTTCTGTAGGTGTCATACCCACAGAATGCTTGATCTGAGTTTACCAAGGCCGGGTCTGCATCCTTCCAGGCACTCGACTTGCTCTGTGCTCAGGTCCAGCCTTTAACTAGTCTGGTTATTTCTCAGTACCTTTCGCTAGATGAGGAGGACTGTGACTCCTTTATGCCTTTATCCTGTGCATCTACCACAATGTCTTACGCAAATGTTTGTTTAATTACTCTACAATAAATTAATAAATAGATATATTCTAAGACCAAGTAAACTCTCCAGATTCTAGTTGTGGTTTCTGTACAATGTGAAACTGACTGCATCTGATAATTTTTCTAGCTGTATCAACCAAATTGAAGAAATGGACACCATTTTCTCATGGCATCAACATTGAGAATTTCTTTTCAATCATGTTTGGGCAATTTGTCAAAATTTTAAGCACTTATTTTAACCAGATTCTTTGGAAAAGTTTGCTTTTGTTAAAAAAAATATAAATATATAACTGCTTGTGCATAGATATGAAAAATTGCTTTAGCACATTCATTTTCATGCATTATAATAAAAATAAATATATTGTGTTCGTTGTTGCTATTCATGGTAGACCCAAATTGAAAAACACCCAAATGCCTGTCAACAAGAGAAGGAATAAATTGTGATTTATTCATGTACCAGAATACTAAACAGACATAACAGAGAGTGATTTATAATTTTATATAACAAGATAGGTTAATCTCTAGTGCAATGAATACCAAGTAAAAGAAATCAGATTCCACAAAATATATACTATGTGATTCAATTTCTTTACAAATTTCAGTACCAAAGTAGACAAAATTTCCCTTTAAAGTCAAGATACTGCTCATCTTGGTTGGGACTGGGTTTGTGGAGGTCAGTGATGAGGGATGAGAGGGAAGAACCAGGGGCAGTTACTGGATCCTGGTGATGTTCTTTCATGTGTATGAGTGTTTTGCCTACATGTATATAAACACACACCTGCAGAGACCAGAAGAGGGCATCAAATCCCCTGGAACTAGAGTTGCAGGTGGTTGTTAGCTGCCATATGGGTGCTAGGAACCAAACTCAGGTCCTTGGCAAGAGTAACTGGTGCTTAACCACTGTACCGTCTCTCCAGCCCTGATGTTCTGTTTCTTGATCTCAGCGATGTCTGTGGAGCAGAGTTTGGTTAGTAAAACTTTATGAAGGTGTGCATCTGTCACACACATGTGTATCATACCAGCAAAACTCAAAAAGTGGAGAAAAAAAAAAACTTAAAAAGATAGTCTCTAGCTGTAACCCCCAAATTGCTATTGCTCATTTCCCCTTAAATACTGGTCTGAAAAGGGATTTAAACATTTTTGGATATAAGTACAAAGTAAAAAAATGAAGCTTTAGAATAAGAAAACATCTCACAAACTAGTTAGCAACTTCTAGGCCATAACTGCATTTAAAAGATGGTTAGAATTCAACAATTATTACTGACTTAGAACCATTGTCTGAATGTATCCTCTACACATTTTCTAGTGTAGAGAATTGTAAATATTATCAAATCATGGCTGAAATGTTTGTTCTCCACTTTCAGGTTTGATCTGCCACCAGTTATCTTGTTTTCCATGGACGGCTTTAGAGCAGAGTATTTACAAACGTGGGGTTCTTTAGTGCCGAATATCAACAAACTGAGTAAGTCCTGTGCAGATGACTGCATGCAAATGACAATGTCATCCAGTCAGGCCATCTCTGGGAGGCATCACCATTGGTGCTTTGCCTCAGCCCACAGGTTCTCTCAAGAGCTGAATGTCTTTACTCTGTTGTCTATGTATTTTCACAAGGGAGAGGATTTTCACACTACTTAGCCCCTCTTACCTTCTTTTTCAGCAGCACACTCACTTTTCTGTTTGCTTATTCTGACATGTTCCACATTTGAATATAACTTCTGATATATGGAAATCTGTTATGTGTACCATCTCAAACACAGACCTTGTTAGAAGTTGGTTCTGTGACTCAAAAGATGTCTATGACTTGGAGAACAAGAGCCTACATGAGCCTGATTTACTGGGTGGATCTAGCATCTACTAATACTCTGCTAGATCCTCCAAAGTTCAGGATACATCTCCAATTCTGGAACTTATTTGCATTGAAACTGGCTCCACCACTTACTAGCTGTGAGACCTCTGCAAGTCCACTGCTGCCTTGGTACAGCAGTCCCTTCATCTATAAGATGATCATTTCTAACCTGATAAATTGCTGCCAAAATGTTGTGGAGTTTTAAGTTACTATAGTACTGTCTTTATTTTCATCTTCATCACAACACTATGCTTTTTAAAAATATTTCATTTATTATTTTAATTTTGTGTGTTGAGTGTTATGCCTGCATGTAGGTAAGTGCGCCCATGTCATGCAATGCTCTCAGAAGACAGAAGAGGCTGTTGGATCCCCTGGAACTGGAATCATGGACAGTTGTTAGCTGCCATGTGGGTGCTGGGATTCAAACCCGGGTCTTCTGCAAGAACAACCAGTGTACTTAACCGCTGAGCCATCTCTCCAGACTGTATGCTTTTGTTTTTAAAAATACTTTATTATTTTTAATTTTTTTTGTGTCTGAGTGTATAGTCTTTATGTATGCATGCGCACCCCTGTCATGCGATGCCCACAGAGGTCAGAAGAAGACATCAGATTCCCTGAAACTGGAGTTACAGACGGTTCTTAGCCACCATGTGGGTGCTGAGAACTGAACCTGGGTCCTCTGCAAGAGAAGCTGGTACTCTTACCCACGTAGCCATCTCTCCAGCCCCACAATACTTTGCTTTTGTGTTAGGGCACTTGGCTTGCATGAAACTCAGTAAAGTAATAATAAATAAAAGTTGAGTGCCTCAGGTCACAGCCAGAGGTCTAAATGCTCTTCACTGAGTTGCAATTCCTGTCTTTCATCTCTTTTTCCCAGACTCTCTCATCTCCCAAATTCTCAAATATTATCACATTATTTTATTGGTTTCCTGTTTTGATTTTCTTCAGATAATTAGGAAGTAGCTGTTTGATCCTGAATAAGCTGTTGATGGGGGCCAGGGAGAGCTCACAGGTAAAATGAAAAGACAAGCTCTAGTGACTTCCTCAGTTAACCCCTGTGTCTAAAATAAGATCATCTACTTCCCTCTGCAATACAAGTGACCTTGAGGCTTCAGTTTCTCCCTCACTCTCTGAGGTAGCTCTTTAGTGAAGAGATTGAAAATTTTCCAAATGCAGGACTTGCCACTTGCTATTGAGTTACTTTGGTCAAGAAAGTTAACTAACATCTCTCAGTTTTTATTTCATTATCTAAATTTGTATTGATAATGTGGATATCAAATCCTGTATTTAAAAGGGGATTTAACTAGCAAGCCTGAGTTGAATCCATTTTCAAGTGGAGTTAATTGATTTTCTCATCCCACTGAGAACTGGAAATGGCAATCATGAAGTATTTGGTCAAGAGCTTCCTGGTTTCTAATATTTAAAATATATTTTTAGCAGGACATGGGGGCTCATCCCTTAAATACCAGCACCCCAGCACCCCTGAGGTAGAAGTAGGTGGATCTCTGAGTTCAAGGCCAGCCTGATCTACATAGAGAGTTCCAAGCCAGCCAGGGCTACATACTAAGACCTTGTCTCAAAAAAGAAAAACAAACAAAAAAGAGAAGTAAACAACAACAACCAAAAAAACAAAAACAAAAACAAAAATATGTTTAGTCATTGAGATATCAACTTGATATTCAAATGTATTTAAATATTACTAAAGTCTGTTCATATGATTGTTTTTAGGGCTCTTAGTCTCATTCATAAAATAATTTAAGAATAAACTCACCTGGCATGGTGGTACATGCCTTTAATCCCAGCACTTGGGAGGCAGAAGCAGGAAGATCTCTGCGAGTTCAAGGCCTGCCTGGTCTACATAGTGAGCTCCAGGCCAGCTGAGGCTACGGGGAGACCCTATCACAAAAAGATTTAAAGAAAAAAAAAAAGAAAGAATAAACTCAAACAAAAGCTTTAGTTCAATTTTATTAGAGTTTAAAAGAAAAGTCCTCAGGGCAGGTAAGCTATAAAGCTCAGCAACCTCTGTGAGGAGGATGGACAGGAGAAGGAAAAGTCATAAAGTCATGCTGGTTTAGAGGAGGCATGGAGGTCAGACACTGCTGGACTGGTAGCTGCAAGGCAGGGAGGAAAAGGGCGCTTTAGAAGAACAGCTAATGCAAAATGCTGGGGCATTCCAGAGTGTTGAGAAAACTTGGTTAGAAAAGAAATAGAAGAAAAGGAGAGGTTGTGTTTCATAGAAGTCGGCAGATTTATGGAAAGCTACATGTCCATGACTGGTCCCGGAAGCACTGTTGGGGACTCTGGGAAGGAAAAGTTGACAATTTCTTTAATGCATTAGGTATTCCACCGGTCTCTTTAGCTTGACTGAAGGTGAACTGGCTTTCCTGGGGTCCTATGAACAGGTGACTGACCTGGAAAACCTGGGAAGTTGGATATTCATCCAGGCCAGAGATTTTATTCTCTTGACCAGTTTTCTCTTAAGGGGCTTTCTTGCTACTGTAACAAATGCAAACTACCCCTTTGTTAGTTTCTAGGAAACAGGATTATTGGCTTGGATCTGAAATGTACCCCACATGATCCTAGCTGGTACCTTTAATGTGGGGGGTTATAAAAACTTTAGGAGGTGGAGCCTAGCTGGAGGAAGTAGATCGGTCCTTAAGGGCAGTTCCTTTGGGGTCTATTCCTGGCCTCTTCCTGGCTCTCTCTATATCTACTTCCTGTCTGACAGGAAGAGAAGTGTATCCTCTGCTACACATTCCCTTGTGTTCTGTCCAACCACACTGAGTCCAGCAGCCAAGGACTGAGGCCTCTAAAATCATAAGTTAAAATAAATCCTTTTTCCCTTAAGTCATTTATGTCAGGCATTTTGGTCACAGGAACAAAAAGCTAACTAATCCACTGCCTAAGAACAGATGTTACAAAACAGGATAAGAATTTTGGAAGCCTTGGGCTGAGGTATGAGAAACAGGGGTCACTCTTCAGGAAGTTCAAGTTCCATCACTAGTGTCCCACACTGGAATTGAGCTATGATGGTTGTGGAAACTGAGCCTGAATTCAAACCACAGGGCAGCATCCGTAACTACTAGTGGATGAGGATACAGCTCTCAGACTCTCACCCTTAAAGACTGAGAACGTTTTTTCTTAGTGTGAAAGGTAGTAGGCTTAGAAAGGCCAGAGACAAGACTAGGAAGCTTTCCAATGAGATGGAAGGGATCTGGCCCGAGTTAGAGGCCTGACTTCCTGCAAAATTAGGTGAGGAACTGGGACTGAAACAAGAATAGAAGCATCAAGTAGACAGCAGAGATCCAGAAGGTTACATGCAGAATTATTGTTTGGAGATGAGAGTTGGCAAGGTTGCCATTCACAGACAATTAGTCTCTTTCATTCTCCACAGCAAAACATTTACTCTCTGCCTTTTCTATTATTTTGATAAGAACACTTGGCACTACTTGGCACCTTCTGGGCAATAATAATATATTGTCTATAAGCACAATGTTTACAGAGGAGCTCTAAAATTTGCTCATTTTATATGACAAATTTTATGTTTATTGCTTATTGATATTTTATGTTTATTTTATTGTTTTTTGGTTAACAATTCCACATGTAGCATCTTTTTCTAGCCCTTTGCTTTCAGTCTGTCTGTGTCCTTAAATCAAAAGTGAGACTTGTAGTTAACATATACTTGGATTTTTAAAAATCTATTCAGTGGGGGCTGGATCGATGGCTCAGTGGTTAAGAGTTCTGGCTGCTCTTGAAGAGGACCTGGTTTGATTTTCAGCACCCACATGGTGGCTAACAACCATCTGTAACTTCAGTTCCAGGGGAATTTGACAGTCTCTTCTGACCTCCGTGGTCGTTACATGACAGGGGTGCATTTACATACATGTAGGCAATACACTCATGCATATAAAATAAAAATAATAAAGTATTTGAAAAAGAATAATTTTTTTCTTTTTACACCTTATTTAGTGTGTGTGCATGTGTGTTGCACACACCAAAATGCACATGTGGTGGTCAGAGGACAACTTGTAGAAGTCAATTTTTCCTTGACCATGGGTCCAAGGGAGCGAACTACGGTTGTCGGGCTTGGCAGGTGCCTTTGACTGCTGAGCCACCATCTCTCCAGCCTCTAATGTCACACTTAGCGGTCTGAGACAGGTATTTTCCAGCTAAGGTAATTAGGGATACAGTGAGGCTCCAACAGTCTTATTCAGCACAGTTCTAAAAGTTTTAGCCACATGCTGTAACAACTGCTTTAAACTGAGTTTCTTCCAGGTTGTCTATGAACCAGGCCACCATAGCAATCCTAACTGACAGCAGGTAAGGCCAGCTCAGAGCCCGGCTTGTACTTTCTTTGAGGAATGGGACATTGCTTGCTGCCACTAATTTTTTTTTTTTTTTTAATCTTGTTTCCTCATTGAGATGGTCAGCGAACACCAATTTGCCCAGTCAGGCCTAGGTTCTTCTCACCAGTCTTCCAGCAAATTCATCAAAATAGGATGAATTTCCTGTGGGAAGAAAGGGCATGTGACTGCCCTGTGAACTGAGTGATTAAGGACCCAATGGATGGTTACACAATACAGAGATGGGTGTGACACTTAGTGCCGCCCAAAGGT